GCTGCTGCTTTTGGCTGTTTGACCCCAAGAACTGCGAAGTGGTCACTTGACAATTGGACAGCCCTGAGGTGGGGGTTGACGCGACGTCGACCGGAACCACTGTATATGGTGTAGCCCTTAGAATCCTGACGGTTCAAAAAAGAATCGGTGGAATGCAGCAATCCCTTCATATAGTGTCACTGCAAAGTAGCCCAAACTACATCTATTTTGCCAATCTGTCTAAATAGTGTTTCTGAGATTCTTCTTCAACTTGTCAAGAACTAATACGTAGTAGTCTTCTCTTACGGCACCGATGTGCCACGTCCCATTTCGTCACCAGTTACTGCACAATTCATGTGACTCCTGTGAGGCCTTTTCAATCTCTGCGGTTTTACCTGTTCAGCTGGAACCATCTTTAATTCAAGCACAACCTGTTGGCATCGCATGTTGTAAACCGGTTGAGGTGCTTCAACTCTTTGCTTCACATTGGTGCGTCCAGGGGATCAGGTGCGGTCCGTCGTTCCTTTTTTGGCGCAGCGGAACGTTCCTCGATCGGAGTCGTTTCGGGCGCTTCACCGTCGTTCCTCTGAGGCGAAGCTCTTGGCACAGCAGTTCTTCGAAGGTGCCACTGAGAGCACCGAGAGTACCCACGGACGGTGAACCGTTCCCTCGTCCTCGTTCCAAGAAAGAATGGATTCGTTCATATTCGTTCTGTGTTTGCGCAGGCCAAGGGGTGATACTGTATTTCTTTGGATTTTTTTGGACTACCCGCATTGTCTCGTTCGGCTTCTGGACACTCCAAGCACGACTGACTGAGGCATTGGAATATTTGCGTGTGACAATCACATGATCTTCAGCAGTGCTCCAGCCGAGGAGTGTCTCTAAGCAAACACAATGGCAACGAAGGTTTACTGTAGTCGAGAGGAAGCAGTTGGATGTGCAATTGAAGAATTAGGGAGACCCCCCAACGAATGGGTTGTGGTCTCTTTTGTATTATGTTTGATCTTCACGGGGTCTTTGTTTTGATTTTTCTATTCCAATACACAGACGCCCAGTTCTTCCTTGACTTCCGAGCCGACGCTGGGTGCAGGAGCTTTTCCAGCCAAAGCAATGGGGAATCAAGAGGTCTGGAAACTTCTCACGTTCTGATGGGAAGTTGAAACAATATGAAACAATGGATTCCAGGTGGCCAAACAATGGCCCATTGGTGTACTTGGTACCCGGATGGCAAGCAGAGCCCGAAAGCCCGGCAGAGAAGCAGCTGAGCCCGAAATGCGATGTGCAGCGCCTTGCTTTGGTAAGGCCTGATGTGAATACAATGCAGAAGGCCGCGCCGCGCCTTCCGTGTCTCAATATTTGTGAAATGTGGTCTTTAAACATGTTTTACTGCTAAGTCGCTTGACTGCACTGACTGCACTTCTGGCCTCACAAAATGTCTTGAAGGTGCGACGGCAAGAAACGGCAAACTCGCCGGCGCCGGCAGGTGTGGCAACAGGTCTCCGAGATTGGACTCTACAAAGAGTACTCGTGGACATTGAAGATGGACTGCCTGAAATGTGACCATGGAATACCATGGACTCATTGACCATTGACCACCAGCTGCTGTTTTTTAGTGATGATTCTGATGGGAAATCGAAGTCTTTGTGAAGTCAAGCTCCGTCCGCAGGAACCCGAGGTTGCCTTTCTGACATCAACCATACATGATGTCCTGTGCGTGCCTTAGTTTTTGTTATGGTTATAGATGATCATACAATGAGCAGTTGGTCAAGACAGATGTTCAAGGACCTCTCATTGCTCTGACCGTGGCAACACCTGCTTGTTTTTTGACGTTGCTGTTGCTGTTTGGGAGTGCATTGATTTGGCACCGAAGCGTCCCGACTGCAGATTGCAAAGCGATCTTTTTGGCGAACAGTGCCTCAAAGATCTTCAGTGTCATGCTCAGTGAGCAAGGATGAATTGCAGAGGTAGGAGGAGGTCATCGCTATTAGGTGGAGGCTATCGCTATTAGATGAAGGCCATCGCCATTGGTAGGAGGCCATTGCTAGTAGGTTGGAGGCCATCGCTTGTCACTCTTGCGCTGTGCCAAAACTGAGGTCAGGTCCAGGCTCTGACCAGGAGGGCCGTAGAGCAGCTTGGAAACCATGCGGATGTTTGCCAAGACAAGGTGGATTGGCAGTTGAGTACCTGGCTTCACCTTGCAAACCTTGATGATGCCAAAGGCAGATTGGTAACAGTAGCCTGCACACCCTTGCTAGGAGTCCCATTGTTCTTTTTGGAATGCCAATTCTTTCAGTGTTCTCTGCCTTTGTAAAAACACACATATATATATATAATATACGTCACCTGCATTTCGAGCAAGACGGTTTCCTGACAAGCCACATATTAGATGGCGTCGTGCCAGGTCGCAGATGACTCACCGGACATTTGGGGATTCTGAAAACCTTTAAATGCAAGAGTGGCACGGTGTCGTGCGAAGCATGTTGGACGAGGGCCCCTTGTCGTGTGCACTGCATGTGCGGCCTTTTGCAATTTTGTCTAAATTCCAGAAACATAGGTCAGGAGCTTGTGTGAACCCGTGCAGGATGCTTACCTGCAAGACTGCTTGATGTTGAGTGGTGCAAAAGCCGTGAAGGAGCCGACTGACTCAGACTTTCCACTCATTTGGTATCTCAGAACCGAAGGCCAACATGAGCCTTGGGGGAATGATCAGGGAACAAAAGCTTTTACTGAGCTAGATGCCTGAGATTTGACAACTGAACAGTTATATATTTGTTTCCAGAGGGCTTAATTTGAATATTTTTTTGATTTTATTTTGAATTGATTCCGATGGGCTGGGTTTTGGCTTGTCGGCCTGAGGGTGAAGTCTTTTTTTGTTGACATGCCAACAGAAAGCACCCGGCCATGTCAGGAGGACAAACTCCTCGCAGACTTTTCACACGCGACGGTGGCAACTGTGTGTAATTCGAGTAGCTTGTTTGCGGCAAAGTGGAAAGGAAAGTGTGGAATTCGAGTGCGCTACTAGCACAGTAGCATTCTTGCTCCTAGTAGCCATGCCCTTTGTTCCTAGTAGCTTCTTGCTCCTAGTAGTAAGGCCAGGAGCTACTAGTAGCGGCTAGTAGTGTTTCTTTTTTCTTCTGCCTTTTTTGCCAATTCGATCCGAGGCACCGGTGGGTTCTATCCATTTGCAGAATGGGGACAATACATGTCCTGCCTTGGCCAGGCGTGGCCATAACATCCATAACCAACACCTGCCAGAAACATGACACCGGTCAGCACTTTTCTTCACCTGTGTGAAACAGGCTGGGTATTCGGTGATCCCGGACTCTCCAAACAATCTGGCCAAGGCGGATGTGCCACCGGAGTGAGTGGACCATAGTCGCTGCAGATTTGCGCTGTGATGGACGGAGCGTTGGGAGGTATCGTGGACGCGAGATGTCTTGCTGAAAGGCCCAGGGTAAACCCTGCACACAGACATCCTACAACTAGCAATGGCCTCCTCTCCTACCTAATAGCGATGGCCTCCAACCTACTAGCGATGATTCTGTAATCAGGTGACAAACTGGTTCTGTAATCAGGCGGTTATCTCAGACCGACGATCTTTTGCTGGGTGCCTTCGGCAAGCATTGGCATATCAGTGACATGTGTAACCTGGGAACCGGAGCGCTCATGTGCATTTTGTGCGTGATAGGAATGACAAACTTATGGCTGACCGTAGGACAAACAAGTTATATAGCTGCCCCAAATCAGTTTGCTGTAATGTCATGTATATATAAAGGCATATATATATATAATAATGCAGCTGCAAATTAGTTGGGGGTGACACTCGTACTGGCAAAGCAGCGCTGGTGGCAGAGCTTTGAACGTATACAGACTCTAGCAGGACGATTGCACGAAAGTGTCACAAAGTGTCACCCGGTCCAGGCCCTTGTGCAACACGCCGGGCAGGACTGTTTGTCCATTAAGAGCTTGCTGAAACCAAACCTAAACGGTCAAGACGCAATCGACCATGGTGGAATCCAGCCCTACTCACATCGTGAGGAACCAAAACTTATGGAATGGCAACGAGAAAGAGGCAGGAACTGATTGTTGAACTTTGCTTCTGAAGTCAACTTTCTTGGCGCTTGAAGCAAAGGCCTGAGAGTGTCTCTCCTCCTCAGTTTATACCGAGGTTTAGGCATTTTTGCCTGCGATGGTTGGATGGTTGTTAGCAACGCCTCCGCGCGGGAGGCTGCCGAAGAAAATGTTGTTTGTTTTCTTTTTTCTGTTTTGTGTCACTCTTGATCAATCCAGTTCTCGCTGTTCTCACTCAAAGACATGCTTGAACCATACTATCTTTGCGTACATCTACAATAATATGATATAAATTGATATAATATGTTAAACAGCATCTATTCTATAAAGACATGCCTCGCATGAAATAACTTGATACACATGTAATTAATGATGATCTTGGATGAACACTATTGGTGGAACTGGACCCGAGATCACTTTGACAGGTGCTCGAAGGACAGGCTTGGCACACGTCAACTCCCCAGCGGTTTTGCAGACCTTTTGCCTGAAGTGATCAGAGCTACTCCCTATCCAAGAAACATAGAATTGGATGACATTGCCTCCCAGACAAGTATGCCAGTTACTGTAAGGGTTTGTTGTAGCTATGGTAGCTCATTTGTTGGCAGTGCCCGTGTTTGTTGGATGTTGACATGCTTCGACCCCAATGTCTTGTTGGGAAGAGATAGTTGAATGATTTGCCCTAAGGGACATCGTGGTGGTCCATGAGCAGACGATGGTGTCAAAGTGATCCTGGCATTTTTGAGATCATTTCAGAAATTCAATCAGACGCGCGTGAATGGTGAAACGCGCCATTCGCTTTGAACTGTAACTGAAGGACCTTTATCAGCAAAGGGGGTCTTTTGGCTGCACTAGAGAGAGGACCAACTGTTGATTTTGGCCTGTTGCCCTGCGTTTCAAAAGGCTTCTTGCTGCCCGTGCTTTTGTGGGATTTGCACAAAGGCAAGTTGCTTCCGGTGATTCCCAACGCTGGCGTTGTCGCCTTAGCTGATTCTCCATTTGCGTTCAGGTGATGTTTTCTGATTTGGAGGTTTTTTGCGCTGGCATGGCAAGCAGTCTTCACCAAAGGTGACTTTCGTAGCTCCGGCCATGATTTCACCAACGTAACTAAGCCTTGCACTGCCAGCTTGCCCGTGATGTTTTCAGTTCTCCTTGCCAGGCAAGTATGATTGGACCATAAAACTGGACGTTGATGTGGCTGTTGTTCCAGAACGTTTGCGGGAGGCCTGCAAGGGACCCTGACTTACTTTGCTTGTGTTTCTATGGAGGGGCAACCTATAACTATGCTGGGCCTAAAACATCGCCACGGGCCCGCTCATACCACACTACTCAATTCCTTTGCACGAGAACATTTTGTGTAACTAGATGCGCTTCACGCCATCCAGTTGTCTCACTCTCACATGTCAAAAACACTACGCGCTGCACAAAGCCACAAGGGATACACTTGCAAGTTCAACACCACAAGGAGCTTTTGCATGCTTTTGCCCACTTAGAACCATACCAGGTCTGAAGTACTTCCAATGCTACTTGACACCATACATGACCTGAAAGATCTCTGTGCTGTATACAGATCTGTACAGTTTTTTGTACCCTGAAGTGGCGCTCTTGACATTGCATTGCACATTCTGCAACCTGCCGATTCTTCGTAGCATTAGCGACAGTATGGATGAATCTAATGTAGCCTCAACATCGGACCAGCTCAGAGAATTTTATGTTTGCCATGTGACTGTGAACCTTTTGGGTTGTGTTGGCTGGGGGTTACAGTTCAATGCGAACAAGGGAGAAGTGAATCAATAGATGCCTCAGGCCTATCTTTCTCTCTTGACACTTCTAAATATTGCTGGCCATGGGTCAAAGCCCAAGCTCCGGGAGCATCGAAACATCTGCAAGCTGCAAGCCTCACGAAAAGATTGATGATTACTTTCTTCAGCGTGTCACTTCTCGCGTTCTGCAACGGGTGCCCCCAGTGCAGTCTCCGTTTAGCTTGAGTCCATCGTGTCCTTCACCTGGCGATCAGACGCAAGAAATACAGTCACACATGGTGGAGCGAGTCAAGGGCGTGACGAAAGTCTACTGGTGCTCACAGCCATTGAATGAACTCGGTGCATTCAAAGTGCTGAGCCCTCGGTGGCTTCCCAGGCGATTGGCTTGGAGACAGAGCCGTGAGTTGGAAGGACCAGCTACCTGGGAACTTGGACACTCCTATGCCATCGTGGATGTGGAGCTGCTTCCAGAAGCTGCGAAGCTCTCGGGTCAGTCAAGCGAGAGATATCGTTTGAATTGGGGCGCAGGAAGGCGGGTGGGAACAAACTTGGCCATTGAGCGACAAGATCACGTCCCAGAGAGCAAAATCATGGGCGACCGACTGGAGAAAGTGTATCCTGGCACGTGTACTGGAAAGGAGCTGCATAATTTTTTGAAAAAGTGGGATGGCAGCACTTATGATGCAAACGCAGCTAATAATCGAAACTGTCACCACTTTATGCAAGAGCTTATCCATGCTTGTACTAGACATGCTGGACATGAGGATGCTGATCGCCCAGAAGAGAAGGATTTCCTACCTACCTAACTTTGCCGTTAGCGAGACGAAGCAACTCAGCCAATTGCCTGCATGACATCTGCCTGCGCACACTTTCCACTTTCAGTTCCTCTTGTTGAAGCAGCCTACGACAGGGCCACGCAGCCGCCTGCATTCTTGGAAGGTGAATGCGCCCAACGACGCTTGCAAGGCTGACCCATGCCATGGCGTGCCGCGGCAAAGATCCAAGCCACTGTCACAGCCAACTATCACAGCCAAAATGGCCTTGAAGAGGAAGACAAGGAAGAAAGTGAAATGGTGGACTGTGGACTGGCTTCGTGCATATATACAGATGTGTATATAGTATACATAGAATTGAGTAAAACAGAGCTTGTGGCTCTTGCACGTAAGTTTGAGCGGCTTGACCTAAGGGATTTCCAACTTATGTAAAGAGCCAAGCGTGGGTCTGTGATGGTCTGTGGGCTGCATCCATCCATATTCACTTGCTTTTTTCATGAACGACGGTGTAGGTTTTGCATGCTCGGTGTGGGCCTTCTGGCTGCGGCAAGAAGATGCTTCAGACCTTTGGCGGAGTCCGAGAGCCCGGTATCTCATGGAGCGTTCAGGACGACTTCCTTTGAAGTAAAGTGTTGTAGACGGGTCACCACCTTCTTCCCAAACAGGGGACCCGTCAGGACATTCATTTGCCTTTTTCGCATGCCCTGTGGGTCCCTATACTGGAGTTTTGAGGGAACAAGTGAGCTGAAGCTCTTCTGCCAGGCTTCTTGAGGGCTCAAGATGCCAGAGTCCATACCACATAAAATGAGCCCACGGAATCGCATCACACATCACGCGCCTGTAGATCGGCATCTTTGATCCAGTCTACGTTTCACTGGCTTGTGGTTTATAGGGAGCTGACCTGGAAGGGGGCATCCATAGTTATATAGTTCATGTTAGTTCCCTTTGCCTTTCACACCCCTCACCTACGAATTGCCCAGGATTTGCAAGGTCCAGTGGAGGCCTTCAGCAAAGAGGCCGCTGCATCTTTTGCAGCGGGCCAGGGATACTCAGGAGACAATTCCAGCAAAATGAAGATTGAAACGGGAGATTGCCGGGCAGAACTCGATTTGACACACTGAACGCTCCTCATGAATCCTGATGACTCATTGCAGTCTGGCCATGTTGCAGGGTGGTTCTCTTTCAAATGTCAAAAGCCCGAGGTTTTACTTCCTGCACGAGCGTTGCGGGCTGGAACAAGCAGCCGGAAAGCCAATGGCTCTCGAGCTGCGCAAGCGAGCCATCCAGGTTTTGTTTGTGTCTTCGGAGTCAGGTGCAAGTTCATCCAAGAAGTTGAAAGCATCAAAAAGCTAGTAGGTTGGAGGCCATCGCAATTGAAAGCAATTCCAAGCTATGTCACTGTCAGGTACTCTTGGGATAGCAGCTGAAAGGGCACCAAGGCTACTTTCGGGATACCATGAGGACCGGATGATGGGGACCGGGCGCCAATGTGATTGATGTCATGTTGGAGGAAGTTCCTCGGCCTTGTGACACTGTGCATGGCCTTTTCCATCCATTTCCGTGGCAAAGCTCAGAGACGTTGTTGCTGCATTTTGTTCACCCCTTGGTTGGGATATCAACTACCAAAAGCGCTTGAGGCAAGTGGATGGGATGAAGCAATGTTTGAAGCAATCTGGATACTACTACATCCACGCGCCGCATTTTCCTCAGAAGATTTGCTCTTGGCAAACAGTCTGAAGCCATCAAACAGCTCAGGGCTACCAGCACCCGAACCAGCACCACAACGAGGACCTGCCATCACAACACCAACCAACCAGTGATGTGTGAAGATTTCTCCCAGGACCACCACTACATCCTCAACAATTACACGCACAAGCTCCACAGCCTCGGCCTTATATTTTATTACATGTCACCACCGGGGTGCGGCGGCCGCAACATGCAACGAGGCAACTACCAGCACTATGACATACACAAGTTCGAAGCTTACTTTGGGGAGGCCAAGCTGTTAAGGTCATTGAAGTTGGTGTTTGATTGAACCAACGCTAGGATATTTTCGATTTTTCCATGAATAAAACGAGCCAGCATGACAATGCAAGCAAGTCTCCTGTTGAAAGAACGAGAAGCCTTGCCACTGCTAAGTTGCAAAAGTTGCACCAGACAGCATTTTTAACTTCGAGCGCTCCTTGGCTGAACACTATGACGGTAGAATATTGTATAGTGTAATTATATATACACATATACATCTCACATCTTATAGTGCATTTATATATACAATATTATATATATATATCATTGGCTTGTCTTGAGAATGTCTTTCTCTGTCTTGTAATTGTTTTATGTGCTTTGAGGACGATCCTTCCAGAAGCAGCTCCCCGTGTGGGTCATCACCGCCGAAAACGAACACCGGGGCATTCCTTTCGCCCCTCGGCCGAGTTTGGAGATCGCCTGCCTATAGATGGAGCATGGTTCGCCATTTCTGTGAATTTCCGGTAGAACACGGTGAACGGAGCCCAGTGGATTCGAGGCAGACACACAATATATACAAGGAACCAGATCCATTTTCGGGTCTCTATTGGTCTTTGGATCCATTGGTAATCCGAGCGGCTCCGAGTAGTCGTTGAAATGCACTGGCCGATGCTCGGCACCTGCGGCGTCCGCTTGTGCGCATAAATCTTGAGAACTAGATCGTGTGATCAAATGGTTTGCCACAACGGACTAAATAAAGAGTTCAGGTGTTGTAGAAGCCGTCGTGAAAATTGAAGCTGTTTGAAAATTGAACAATTGAAGCCATTTTCTTTGCGTTTCACTTTATCACTTCCTGAGCAGCTGTGAGTCGTCGCGTTGGTTTGGCCCGATCTTGCCAGGCCATTGGTTTGGCCACCAGCCTTTTGCTGCTCTTTTGCATCCCAATTGTAGGTACGCCGTGCCATGCTTGCTTGCTTGACAAGAGTGCAATGCTGGGGTTTGTATGTTGAACCTTTAAGACACAGAGGTTTGGACCTTGGAAGTGGTTGTTTTGTTTGGTCAGGCTTCTTCAGGACGACACCACCAGCACCAGTGCCTGGCGGGTGGAACACTTATATAGTGCATTTCCAGGTCTGCGTCTGCGTGCAGAGTGCGACCTGCAAGGACTGTTCTGCCTCGAGTTGCGCCAGAAGAGATAGAGGACGGCAAGCTGTGCATTGTGAGTCTGGCGGAATGCTGGTCATATTGTAGAAATGCAGCTTTCGGACCAGCCAGGATCCACTTCTAAGAGGACCATGAAGCAGATGTTGATGCCCCGTGCTTCAGTTTTGTATAGTTTTGCAGCATTTCAGGTCTTTTATTTTGTTCACCTGATCCATTGCTTTTAAGGCCCGCTCAAAGCTACTTGCGCCCTGATGGCAACTACTACATCTGGGCGCTGTCAGACCGACAACAACGATTGTCGAGAATTGTGCCCGATCTAAATTAGCTGACAAAAGTGTTGACATTCTAAACCGCTGATCTAAACGCCCCTTTGACCTGGAGCAGGGGACCTCAAAAAGTCAGCAAACGGCAGTAGTGAGTACGATTGGCCTTGCCCAAGGCCTGAACCACCCAATTCTATTGTCCACCATGTGCGAGCCCTGCATGTTCTTTTTGAGTCACAGCCCAAAGGATTCCGGTTTACACATATTTTCATGTATCAAGTGCATGTTTCCACTTTCGCACTAAGCTCAAGGGCTGAATCGCCCCAACTAAGTCAGTGCTTTTGATTGCCATGGCCGACATGGCCTTTGAATGCCTTTGATGTGAAGCATTATTTCGATTACCTCCACCAAGAACTACAAGAGGACTCAACGCTTTGGTTTGCATAGTATCAAAATGTATCAAACTGGGACAGTCATGGACAGTTAACGAAACCCGCTAATTCACATGCATGTGCCACCGCAGCATAATTCGTCTACAGGCCGCGCATTTTTGAAGGCAGCTCCTCCGCTGTGAGATTTGATGATCAGACATGGCGAGACATAATCACTCGAAAAGCTGTGGAGGTGGAGCTGAAACTAGCTCTGCACTCCGCCGATATCTTAAGCTGCTTGAGAAAGGACTTCAGTACGGTTCAGGCCGTAGAACTCGCAGCAGCAAAAAGTTAGACATCGTGATATCGCTGAATGGAATTTTCATTTTCTTTTGTGACAAGGCTCATCAAGCATGTTGTATTTTGGATATATACTTGACTTTCTTGCTATGCCATGGCTTTCAGCCACGTCACTCTTAGAGCTTCAAAGATCCAAAGAGATCCGTGTTGAACGCAACAGCTACAGTAGTTGTATATTTATAACTTAAAGCTATTGCCCTTAGCTGCTCAAACATCACCTGACATCCAGGGTTGTCTCTACTCTTTGACACGAAATCATCAACATCTACTTTGTGCCTCAGGTCTGGCATGTCACGAAAGGTGCGGGGTTTGGGGCACCTCACGTTCCCCGTGTCCTTGGCTGTTTTAGTCCACGGAGATTTTCAAACTCGATGTCCGGGGGAGGCACCCTACGTCGAGGGATTGGTCGCACCACTTTGCACTGGACATTTCCCAGAGAAAGGCTCCACGAGCTTCGCCTCTTGGATTGTTCACTTCTATGGGTGCAACTGTCGGCGCTGTAGAGAGACTGCCTTGATGCTTCAAGATGTTTTGACAGAAGAACCCGTCAGGCAAAGCAGTCTAAAATTCGGCGCAGTAGACTGCCAACAGGCACAAAACCGCAAGCTTTGCAAAAGTTTCAACATCTGGAAGTTTCCTGTGTTGATGGCCATGGGTAGCAGCTCTCGTTACAGCGGTCCTTTGGACGTGAACTCTGTGATGGAATGGATGGAAGGATTCCTGCGACTAGATGCTCTCGTCCCCGTCTCGAATCAGCTCATTGTGTGTCCCGCCTTCGAGCTCTATGAAGAACCGAGGCTGGCAAGCGAGTTCCTGACCGCGCACAACATCTTTCGCTGCATGGCAGGCATTCCTATGCTCGAGTGGGATTTGCATGCCTTCCAAACGGCCAGGGCATATGCCTCCAGAGCTCCCACGGATCGCTTGTCCCACAGTGACCCAGCCGAACGGAGAAGCAAACGGAAGGCAGTCTACGGAGAGAATGTGGCTCTTGGTCAACATCTACGGCCAGGGCAAGTGGTGGCTCGTTGGTATGATGAGATTCGGAACACGCAGGGAGGCAAATTCCGGCCAAAGCGTGCTGGACTTGGTCATTACACACAGTTGGTGTGGCGGAAGACTTTGCGTGTTGGATGTAGTTTGGGGCAAGATCGTCGTGTGGCTGTGTGCCACTATGATCCTGGTGGCAACGAAAAGGGGAAACACTTGTCACAAGTTGCACCTCCTTTGCCTGGATTTTTTGGTATCGAAGGGCAAGAACGATGTGGTGCGATTGTCGAACAGATAGGAGCCTCATGAAAAGTGAGCAAGGCTGCACCGCTGTATTGCCTCTACACGTGTTGCATGCTACTCGTAGTAAGTACTAGTACTCGTAGCTAGCAACGCTTGAAACCTGGTGACTTTTTACCTTTTGTGAATCATTGGAATGTTTGTCGAATATTTTGCATCAAAGAAGCGATTGTAGTATCCAGCTTGAAGCGCTGTGGGGCCGTTGGACCCAGACTTGCGTGTCAGTGGTATGCAGATCAAGGCATTTCAAGCAATGTACAGCAGCATTTAGGAGAACATGAACTGCCCAACTAATTATATTGTTATATCTAATTACTGATGTAACGACATTTGCAAACTTTTGCGAACAGTGCTTTTGATTTGTGTCATTGGTTGGTTAAGGCCAAAGTATGCCCGGCTTCGAGGTGCGCGCCGAGGTGTGCGTGTTTTTCCGTGTGCTGCAGCTGGCCACTCAGGAGCTCTCTCGGAGTGAGCTTTGTGCAGCTGTGCCTTTCTCAGAGCCTGGATGAGTGCTGAAACTGCTGAGTCTAGGGCAGAACTGATGAACAATAGGCCCAATGGGTTGTAGTGACAAGGCGAGTTGCTTTCTCAGGTACTGGACATCCAAAAGGGCCTGGCAGATTTGACCAAACGCCTAGATGCAGTTGGTGAAGTTCAATCCTCGGTGCTTTCTAATTTTACTCAGGCAAACCAATAATACAGTGTACTATGGCTGGCCACAAACTTTTCCTTTGAACTCTGAACTGCAATCAACCTCAGTCTAAGCGCTTGCCAGCAAACAGATCTCGAGCTTGTTTGCTTCACTTTCTTAGTGGATTTAGCATGAACTGGTGGGAAACATATATTTTCCTGTAAACCCTCTTATGCTTTGGGCTCTAAAAGGCAACTTCATTGTTGATAGGGCCCTTGTTACATCATAGACCATAGTGTTGTTGCATGCTGATCTCTTGTACACGGGTGCTGATGGTCTCTCCCATGGCTACTTGCAAAGTATCATGGTTTGTCCGCTTGGAGCTTCGATCCTGCTTGGCGGAAGTCTTTTTGCTGTACAAATCCTGTTTTCACATAGAAATCCTAGACATCGACAGAACGGCAGGAAGCTCAACTGATATGCTGCTTTGTAATTTGTCTTCTGATTCTAGCCTCTTACATCCTCTCGCCATGTTGGCGTCCGTTGGCATAACGAAGATGCCATTGATGAGGTGTGCGTGATATGTGTGACTTGGCTTTGCCATGACCGACTTGCTGACTGAGCTGAAGCTGAAACGCCCACGCACATGGATGATGATTACGAATGGCCAGGGCGCACTGGTTCATAGGTCATTGCTGAAGGTCTGTGAGAAAGAAGGCCTGCAAGCAGGTCCTGAAAACGAGTTGTTGCAGGCTCTATTGGATTTGCCGAGTTTGGATGGGAAGGGGGGGCTACACTGGGACAAAAGCACGTGGCATTCAGCCGGCAGTCTTGGATGATAAGTTCATCCATGATGAATTTCAAAGACTTTGCAGTTTCCACGGAGTTGTGCGGTTGTCGTACGAACAGTGCTTGTCCTGGGACTGGGTTGCAAGTCAAGTTGGAGTATCTATCACAGATGACGCTGTGAGGGAGCTTTGGGGTCTCCGAGTAGCATCATCTGACGTGAGCGAAATAGAGTTTGGAGCCTTCGCTCGAGCTTTGCGAGAGGAGTCAGGATTTGCTACAACGATTCAATCCTTCTTACGAGGACGTGCCGGTCGCCAGAAGGCTCATTCACAAGCTATGGAAGAAAACCGGACTGCGCAAGAGAGCCGCTGTGCAGCGGCCATGAAACTTGCACCGTACAATCCAACTCCTTCCTGTGCCATTCATCAAGCGCTTGAGGCACTTGGAGTTGGATCCGGCGATCTCCTCTACGATTTGGGCTGTGGTGATGGCAGGCTCCTGATTGCCGCAGCCCAGCGAGGTGCTCGAGCAGTAGGAGTTGAGTATGACGCAAGATTTGTCGAAAAGGCTTTGAGTGCGATAAAAGAATCTGGACTCTCAGACTTGGCTTACGTCACTTGCGGTGATGCATTCTTGACTGATTTGACGCCAGCGTCCAAGATCTTTCTGTACTTGGTACCCGATGGATTGCGCAAGCTTGAGCCATCATTGTGTGCAGCAATCAAGCGCGGGACGCCAATTGCAAGTTACATGTTCTCCATACCTGGCTGGTCTTTTGATGATGTGCTAACAGCAGAGTCCCGTTCTCCTGAATGCAAAGTTTGGATATACAAACATCCCAGCTGTTTGCCTGCCTTACCTGCTGGTCAAGCTTGTTCGTGATCCAAAATGGTGAGCCTGAGGGTGTTTTTTGTCCAGACGGTTTCATGACAAAGACACGCTTGCTCCACTAACAACATTCAACCTGGTAAGATTGTTGCACAACTATTCAATTCCAGCATGAGTGCATGCACAACAAACAGACTGTCTCAGGAGAATTCATTGCTGCGGGAGGAGCGGTCGAATCACAACTCAGCACAATTCTATTGGAATGTTTGTGTGCGCATCATCATGTTGAAGGTTTTTTGAAGTTTCTCTAGGAGAATGCCCTGCTGAAAGATGAGATCGACGCACGCATTGAGGGAGCCAGGCCCATGACTCATCACTCTGACACATTGATTTCGTCTTCATGCGCCAGGAATCCTGGTAGATCAGGTCGGCGAAGCTCTGACAGAGAGAGGCCATAATCATCCATACATAATTATATACTAGTGTCGGCAGAGAGATGCAATCACATGTGCAAATACTGACTGCATGCAGGTGAGAATGGACGATAGACTTTGAATGCACATGCACCGACAGTGGCCGACTTCGCGAAAGCCAGAAAAAGCATGCGAGGAAGATGCCTTCATGCATTCGTGTTCCAGAAATGTGCATGGATTCTCGAGCTTGCGGGCACTGGGCTAATTCAAGAAGCGTGCGGGCACTTGGCTCATAGACACTGCCGCCTCGGGCACATGTTGTACATGAAAGCACGCAAATCAGCACACACATCAATTCTCGATTGCAATGAGATCCTACAATCCCGAAGTCTCATGAGTCGTGCATGGAAGGGCAGTCACTCTGACTCATGTAGGGTCATAATATGGCTGTCTTTGCAAAGGCTCGGGCAAATACTGTCCAGTTTCAATGACGCTACTAGGAACAAGGACGCTACTAAGGGCTCCTGGCCTTACCACTAGGAGCAAGGACGCTACTAGGGGCTCCTGGCATCGCTACTAGGAGCAAGAAGCTACTATTACTAACGGCTCTTGGCCTTACTACTAGGAATGTTAACCGCACTTATTACGGTCTTTGCACTTGAGCAAACAGGTATCCTTGGAGACGAGTTTGGCCACGGTGCCGCCTTGTAATGCTCCTTGTACTGTTCAGCAAATCACACACATCTCCAGTCAGACTGACACCAGTTGTCACAGTCCTTGAGACTATATACAGTTTCATACAGTAATTATATATAGGTTGGTGAATAGGAGGGTTAAATCTAGTTGAAGGCGCATATTGATACTTGCTTTTTGCTGCGCTTTTTTGTATTTCCGCAGCTTCGGCCCCAGAGGGTAAGCTGTGGAAGCTGATCCAGAGCCCATACCCGAAATTACAATACCATGAGCATCTATGAGTTGTAATCTGCAGCACTGAATACTACAGTGAGTTTGACGACACAAATTAGCATCCACCAACCACAGAAATGCTATGATACGCATTCATCAAGAAATGCGTACGCTGAGCTGCTGAACCAGCTAACAGGGAACTACCACAGACACATACGGCCTGTGAGTAGCGCACTGTCAACCTCCAGCTTCGACCTCCAGAAGAATTGACCAAGTGTCCGTCTTCCTCGAGGTCACCGGGGGGCACCTGCAACAGCGGGACACTCGGAGGGCGCTCGTTTTGCGGGGGTGATCGTTTTGCGCATCGGGCGATAGCAGATGCAAACAGCTTGTGTCACAGGTTTTGTCCTTTGGGAACCAATGCGATAGCCTCCAACCTGGTAGGAAAAGGAACCTAGAAGCGATGGCCTCCAACCTACTAGCGATGGCCTCCACCTAATATATATAATAGCCATGGCCTCCAACCTACTAGCGATGGCCCTCAATATCACAAAGTTTGCAAAAGCCTCCTGAACCTCCGTGCCACAGATGGCTGAACTTATTCCAGGATTCCTTTTGTTCAAGACAACGTTTGGCTGTGGCTTCCACGCTTGAGAGGTCCGGTCATGAGGCCTTCAGTGCCACAGCAAGGCTCGACCCTTTGCCACAGAGATGATTTATACAAGAGAATCATAGAGAATCTCGTGCATGAGGAAGACAGTGCGTACAAACTGAATTGTGACTATGTCTCGCTGGAATATGTTTTTTGCAGGTATGGGCAGCGTGAGAATGCCACTGGGAATGCCTATGATGGGCTTGCCAATGATGGGAATGCCGATGATGGGTGGCAGCCTCGGTCGCAGAAAGATGAAAGGACCGCCCACGTGGGCGATTCTGTAGCTTGCTCTCCGCTGTTTGTGTTCCGAGGTATGCCGATGATGGGCATGCCAATGATGAATATGCAACAAATGATGGGCATGAGCCAAGGCAAGGAAGCATGTCATGTTGACCAACGATACGACTTCAGACAGCGAACTGTTTCAATGGAGGCCAAATGCAAAGTGGAGCTTCTGCTCCAGCGTTGCAACCTTGGCATTTTGTTCCTTGTGAAGAGTTTGAGAGAGTCTGGCTGTGCAGGGGCGCCACTCCACCAGGCTCGGGAACGTGGATCCGATGCTGACATTGTTGGTACGTGCGCAAACGAGTTTGTGCTAAAGCTGCCAAGATACTTTGGGGACCCAAATTGCTGAGGGCACTTCTCTCTATCACAGCAACAGCGACATTTTGCTCACTGGCAGCGATCCATGTTCGGGCTTGCTCTGAATTGAGCTGATCTAAAGTCTAAAAAATGTGTGCTTTCTGCGGCAAACTATCCATTGTTTCCCAATGCATCCCTCCATTGCGAGCACTCGCACTAGCGTCAGGTCTGTCTTGGAGTAATTGGTCCCTTTCCTGCGGTGTCCAGTCCTTGTTAGCATAATTGTTGCATATAGTCATATTACCATATATGGCTTTGTCAACATTGACATGGAAGTGCCGTGCAAATTCATCAGTCTTCAAAAACACATACTTTTGGGTCATTTGGGTCTAGGAGGTTCTATGCCCTTGTGGATGTAATACCTAGTCCTACGTTTGTGGGGAAACTCCAGCACTCGCAAACCGTCTTCCATCCATTTTGGAGTTCTTCAACTGACTTTGATCCTTCCATCCATTTTTTTCAGGCCCTGCTCCAGGAGGAAGTGCCCTCGGCACGCCACCTGAACGTCCAGAAGTGCTTGAGCGGAAGGAGAACCTGGAGCTGATTCAAAGATGGGCCATGCCATGCCCCCGATACTCATTTCAGAAATCCCTAAGCTAAGGATAGCTGAGGTCACTCCAGGCCCTGGCTGGAGTTCGCTCCAGTCTGACAGTTTTGTTGGTGCAGAGAGTCAGAGCTTTTATACTCTTACGGTTTCTTTAGAAGTGGCGCGGACTTGCAAAAGCTGGCGCCAATCCCTGCAACAGGAACACTTGCTGCACGATCTACAGCAAGCGGCAATCGAGCTTGCCCACAAGCAATATGCTGAGGAGCAGTGGTCAGTTCAATGTTGTAGAATGTCATGGCAGACGAAGGTCAGACAGCACTCGTGCAGCAAAATGCTACTAAGATTCTACAAAATGGTTCCAGGAGCAGAGAGAGAAGCGAGATCATCGAGATCGAAGTCGCTCCAGAGATGACCGTCACACCAAGCAATTTGTTGCTCTCTGTCTTATGTATGGCAATCACCTTCGGCCCCTTCTTAGTCTTTCTTGTGTATGGCTGACTGCAGGATGACCGTGGACATGAAGAGGCACTGGCCACCTTGCACCGACAATTCTCATGAGTGAGAAGACCTTCCCTGTGCACTTCCAAGGCCAGGAAGGATGTGGGGACGAAAGAAGAAGCACCACCTCCCTGTCACTTGTGCTGTCCTCTGCAAGATCTTCGGAACTTCTTGGTGCCCTGAACATGATTTGTTGCACACATTAACGCAGAATGTGTCTAAGGCACCCAGCAAAGAAGCCAAATGCCAAGTGCAAGTTTTGCCAGAGGGCAAGCAAAGTTTGCAAAGCTGCCGCTGCCCCGAAAAAGGGCAAAGAGGAGGCTCGGAGTGAAGCCGCGCCTTCAGATACGTGAGAACTAGTGAGGAGGTCCGCTCGCAGATGCTTGTATTCTGATCCATGGGCCAGGGCACTTTATCGACTGTATTCAACTTGGACGCTACTTCAAAGCTGAAACTAGATTAATATGACCAGTGGCTACTATTGTATACTTTCCACATGCTTACCTTCTTTTTTGGAGACTGGATCAGAAAGACTAGAAACTGGGGTATAATCCCGGCAGAAAAACTTTCGGAATCCGACCCTCACCACGGGAATTTCCTTATCCAGAATTCTCAGAACGAATTCATTTCGCAAGATGGTTAGTCCCTCCAAAACCACCAGAACAAGCATCCCCAGAGTGCTCAGAAAATGCTGAGAACAAGACTTCGCTGGACGTGTTCCTCACATGCTTTAATTCTTTTTCTGAGGCCCGAGAGAGCAAAGACCACAAAGAGGCAGAAAGATACAATGCACGGCTCTCGACTACGCCAGCTGTTCATTTTTGTCCAGCTCACCTTGTCAAGCAAAAGATCAAAAGAATTAGCCAACAATCTGCGATTTCTCACACCTTGCTTGCTCCTGTCAGAAACATGACACCCAAACCAAACATAGAGCCTGTAGCATTGACGTTCACACTCTGAACCCCCCCCAAAGACGTTGGAGTGATAGCAACATCAATGTGGCTGATTTTGCAGGAAGCAGACGACGAAGAGGATTACTCTCGTAACTTGGCCTTGGGGTCTGTGGGCAACACATCCTATGAATTCGGACTTGGACACCCGCTGTATTTTCGAACGCCTAATGGGCCAATGGGGGTTCTTGCAGAATCTAGACTTGCAGCTTGGTCATGTGAGGCCGTACCTTCAACTGCAGTCCAATCCTAAAGGATCAAATCCTGGGCCGGCCGCCTCAGTTGGCTCATACCGAGCTTTTGAGCCGGAGACCTGTCGACCGGTGACACCGTGACAGCCGCAATGCTCGAAGATGTCGATGACGTGCATGTTTTTAACACTCGATTTGAAGGTGTCAAAGTCGTGTCGGAAGTGCATGGAAGGCTCCAGCTACTTCAAGAGCATGCTGCAGCTCACCACCATAGACGAGATCATTGAAGAGATCAAGAATTACGCTGATACATTGGACGTGCCCTACACATTCCTTGGTTAGACTTACCTGGTGAGTGAGATGCCGGTGAATTTATGTGAATGTTCTTCATTACTTTTCCATGGCCAGGTATACAATTCGGGAAGCAGCACTTCACCCTCCAACTTTGTTTGTCAGGCGTGGCGGTGGCCAAGAGCTCTGCCTCAGATCCAGTGACAGAATATGACAGATCGCATCATTTGCTCGAGAGGAGAAGCGTTTGGGCACCAACACGATACTGACATATACACTATCCAAGCACCCCATCCTGCGTCCCTATTTATTAGAACTATACAATGCTGGCTCAATTTGCTGGGTTCAAAGTTTGAGCAATGCTCACAAATGATTTGTGCTCTTACAGCACGTGATTGGATTAGACCTGCAGAATTAGCATCAGAATTAGCTTAACCTTAAGTTTCCCAAAAATCTAGTAACCAAATCATTAGTGCGCGAGCTATCCTGCGTCCAGTCGGTAGGAGCGTTTTGTAGCTACTAGCGACTCCCTAGCTCCTACTAGCTACCTACCTAGCTAACCTACCTCTTCTCGCGGCCCTCCCCCCCGGGGCCGGGCTAAAAAAATAACACCTTGGAGGATCTTCCAGGGTCGCTGACCACGGGCGAATCGTGGAACGAAGGCTTTGCAAATTCGTCGAACAAGGGATGGATCGAACGAACGAAGGTGTACCGCATCTTCACGCTTCCTGAAGCAGAAGACCTGTCCCAACTGCAGGCACGGAAGAGGTGTTAACGACGACCTGTCCAGCCTAGCCTGGCTGACTTTCTGTCGTAATGTTTTTGGTCTTGATGTTGATCCGGTAGAAAATACATGGACATATCATCCTGGAAGAATTGGCATTTAGATGCTTTTAGTAAACCTTTCTTCTTGATGAACTCATTCAAATACACTACGACGCGAAGACCTTGATGTGCCAGAGGTGATTCTGGAGAACCCGACACCCATTGCTCGAATCTTGGGTTTATTACCTCATTGCCTGTAGCACCTGAAGTGTAGCTCACCACTTGGAGCTTGTTGCAACATGCTGTTCTTTTCAGGTGCGTTGTGCTGGATTTGTCTACTTGCGCTTTGTGGTTCCAGCTGCTAAGCTTTTTGAGAAGCACCCCTGGCATGTCAATATGAACACTTGCATGGACCGCATGTGTGTGTGAAAAACAACCCATTAGTGTGAGATGCATCAGGATATATAGCTTGAAGAACTGAAAGAAGACAGTTTGGCAGCCTGGTCTGGCAGCATTTGGCACACGTGACAGGTTCGAAGAGTATCTCTTTGATGAAATGGAGTTGAAATACCAGGCCATCCGTTCTGAAACTACAAGTTCAGCTGGATGTGTGCTGAAACCACCAGCTGGGCAGCTAACTAACAGCCACTTGTCGTCTTCGCAGGATGCAGGTCGGACGGTGACGACCACCATTGGTGATTACGTTGAGGCTCTGTAGCTCAAGCAATTGCAGGTAGACTTCAAATTGACCCTCCACATACAACGCCTTGGAATGCTTCATCATGCCATTAATCGCAGTGCGGACTGCAGGGCCTTCTGGGGAAGGAAAAGTATTTCAACCGACCGCTGCCTCGAGTTCCCGTGAAGGCCATGCCGGAATCTGGTTCCGGTATGTTCCTATCAAATCCTCTACTGTAATTTTAGTTTGATGGGTTGGGATAAGCATTTTTCAACTGTACACCAAGGTATGTCAATCTCAAGGGTCTCTTCTGGATTCTGTTCGGCTTTGCTGGGGTGCCCTTTCAGCCTCTGTCCAGGTGAAGCAGCAATTGGAAAGGGAGCTAGCGCCAATCAGTCAATATCGAAAGCGCATGGAGGCACGTTGGTGCGCCGAGCGACTCTCATTTCAAACCGAGCAGAGCAACGGGAGCTGCTGCGATAGGCCCATATGAAACATAACATCAAGAAGATCGCCGGCACCCCCGTGGAGGCTAGCCGCTGTATGCTTTGGGTGTTGTTGATATTCTGGAGAATTCCTTCTATTCCTGTACATTATAAACCCATACGAACACCCTTGTATCCATTATTTGCAGAACTCACACTTTCTTCACTTTCAGGTCTTCCACGATGGACAGTGGGTCCCTGGCACTGCCCAAGATTTCACAGGCAAGCACGTGAAGGGGCGCAAGGCGCGGCCAGCTCTCGGAAAGCTCCTCCAACCTACTAGCATGGCCTCCAACCTAATTGTAATGGCATCCAACCTGCAAAATTTAACTACCCTTGCTACAAAAAGTGCATCAACTGCTCAGTTATGCCAGGTCAGAGTGGAACTCGACAATGGACAAGAGGTGAATGTTCACATGGGCAAGGTGCCTCGCCGTATGTTGTCGTCAGTCGAAGAAGAGGTCGATTCTTCGAGATGCATGCTCATTGGACAAACCCACCGAGAGAGCAAGGCGGCAAGACATGGCAGTAGTGAAGACTGAAGACTCAAATGATACGAACTATATAGTTATATATATCACAATCAATGACACACATAATTAATAGTTCCTGTATGTGTTTTGGAATAATATATATATATATACATTTCTTTTTTTGTCTCTCTCTCTCTCTCTCTCTCTTTCTGTCCGTTTGAATGATACATTGTAGTGTCGATTGCATTGTGGTGATAGGTGGTCTTGCGAGATGACGGAAGCAAAACGGAGGACAATACTCACACTCAAACACTTGAGGAAACAAGACACATCAAAGCATGCGCAAACAGAGACGTTTTTTGTGTGTTGTATATTCTGCTGTGATCCTGGCAAATTTGCATGGAAACACACATTGTTTGTTGTGTCACAGTCTCCTTTTGACCACTCGTTGAGTTTTAAGGACTCACTTTAGAAAGCTAAATCAACGGTCGGTTTATCTAACTGGAGAATAGTCTATTTCCGAAGATGGACTCTGCATCGACTGGATCAGGACCGAACTGATGAAAAGGAGTCGGGAGACGAACGGAGTGGCTCTGACGATGAAGGCAAGAAGAAGAAGAAGAGGCGGGAACTCCAGGGGCAAGAAGCATCGTCAAGAGCTATTTGATTGACTCTGCTTGCCGGCAAAGGGGACTCGAGTCCTGCATGCTCTTTGTGGACACTAGATGTGGCCAGTCATTGATGTTTGAAGTAGAAAAGTACCATGCACAGTGTTACTGTATATAATGTATATAGATGTTGAGCTACTGTCGCTGAACCCTGCGGATGACTTGACCGCAAGGAGGACCAGTCGGAGCCGCAGCAGACGAAAATCCAGGAGCCCATCTTTAGATTGGCAGCATGCTTAGTTTAGAATTTCATGGTGATACAAATGTATAAGTTAAAGATCATCATGTTTGAAGGATTTGTCATTTTTCCAGCTTGTTGTCATTTGTTACCCCTACAGGGGACAAAACATTCTCCAAGATCCGGCAAGCTCATTAATACTGAGGTGCCGCTACAAAGGCAATCAAGACAAAGACCTGTTAGAGGCGAGTGATGCTGTGCACATGCACGAGTGTCAAAAAAGTCGGCACATACTCAAGTTTCCCTAAAAATATCGGAATCAAAGCACTATTAGTCTGAGCGCTTCTTCAAGGAAGCTCCCCCCCTCAGGCGGGAGGAGCTTCCCGTGAGCTATCCTGCGTCCATACTAGTAGCGTCCTAGTAGCTAGGAGCGCACAAGTTTATCCCTTACTCAATTAAGTAGGCACCTACTTGGTCCCTTAATTAAGTAGGCGCCTACTTAATTAAGTAGGAGAGGAAACACGTTTTCTTGTTATACAGGCCTTGCGGGAAAGGGCCAGAGAAGAAGCAGCTAAAGCCTCAGCTGCTTTGTGAATCGGAAAATCCATGATCCATATAGTAGCTGTAGCTTGCGGCTTGCCGGAAGCTCATGGCTTGACTGGAAGAGAACTGGTGGATTGTCATTGATTGATTTTGGTGTTCTTTTGCTGCCATTCTTTTGAGACTCACCATGCTGGCCACGTCTTCTGCCAAGGTTTGTTCCTATGCAAAGACCTACTCTCGAAGTCGTCCTGTGACGGTGGAGGATTGACATCGTTCGTGAGCGGCGAAGCGTCAGTTTGTACTGGTCGACACGGAAGCCTGACAGTGTCTAAGAGACTATATTACATATATATATATAGTCATAGTTGTTTTGTGTCAAGCAATTACTTGATTTGATCATAAGTTTCCACTTTCTGCCAGGGTGGGGACAAGTCCTCCAGGCCTGACAAGGTGGGGGGGCTCACAAGGAATGCGTGTTGTTAACACGGTGATAAGGAATGCACACCACTGCCGTGAAAATCTGTGAACTATTTTTTACTTGTTACAATATTTATCGAGACTGATGGCATTTGCATCAGGAATCTGGAGGTGAATTCAGATCAAGAGCGCGGCAAGAAGAGGAGGAGGCTGATTCTACATTTGGCCACGTATGGGCACAGTGCTATTATTACTTTTGTTCTGCTGTTGTTATATACTAGCTTGGGAAAACTTATTATATATATATATGTATGTATGTATGTATGTATGTATGTATGTATGTATGTATGTATGTAAACAATGTATATATATATATACACATAATATACAAGTGCATTTCGTTGAAAGATGTTGAAAGCCCTAAGAGTTGGGGAAGCTGAGGAGCACAAGAGGAGGATGCGAGACATCTACGAAAAATATGGAATGAGCAAAGCTGCCCCGTCCAACTATGCAGCAGGCGCAAGTTTGCTCCCAAAGCGTCCGTGGTACGGTGGATAGACATTCCGAAAGAGAAATGCTTACAGATCACATTCAAGAATTCTCCAGAAGGGACAGTTTAGTCCCAGATCCAGATGGATTCTTTGGACCAGACACTGTGACTGGCCTGAGGTCCACGAAAAACGGAAATCGACCAGCCAGAGGTCCTGAGACTGGGGTAGACGGCTGGCCGTAGACCCGGGCGGTTTGCGACGGCTGAGCCGCTCACGGCGCGATTCCGGCGGAGCGGCGGAGCCGCGGCGCTGCGAAAGAGGAAGTGCTCACCCGCTTTGAAAAGTGACTTCGTTTGGCTGAAGTAGGGATAGCCTGTGTGCCCTTCATAAGTGCGGTTCAACAGTCATTGCAATTGCCATTGGATTGAACTCAACATACCCAACGTACGAGTATTTCTTGTATTCCCTTGGTGCGTTGAAGTGCGATAGTTGGCGGACACATTTGCCAGGGCCACCTTGAGCCTTGCGCAGGCACCATGGCATCAACAGGGCCTACTTCAGGTGGTCGCCTGAGACGGCCGAAACTCTCCACAGATCTTGCTGCACAGACCTTGCCGGCACCTCGCGTGTGCCTCATGGACTGATGGTCCTTTCAGACCGATTTCAGAAGCCCTTAATTAGTAGTAGTAATGCCCTTGTTTCCAATAGCTTCTTGTTACTACTAGTAA